TGTGTCGTGACGTCACCGGCAGAACATCCGGGAAACGCTTTATTTTTTAATCGGAATCTTTATTTTTTTAGACTGCGGTCGGCGGAGGAATTCGATGAGCTACGAAGCTCTTTTTGTTGTTGCCACAGATGTCCGGTCAGGGGTCACGGGGTCAAGCGATTCGGCAATGGGCGGATCGTGGGCGCACGCCGGATTGGCGTCATGTTGGCCTGGGTCGCAAGACGTCATGTTGTCCTAGGTAGCATTGACGTCACTGGGATATCGGAGCCGAGTTGGGGGGGCGGTGACGAGGGGCTGGAGTCGCCTGCGGAGGTGAGGAGGAGGTGAGGATGGTGGTGGTGATGGTGACGATGGTGATGATGATGGTGAGAATGGTGGTGATGGTGAGGATGGCGGTGATGGTGATGATGGTGAGGATGGTGGTGATGGTGACGATGGTGGTGATGATGGTGGTGGTGATGGTGACGATGGTGGTGATGATGGTGGTGGTGAGGATGGCGGTGATGGTGAGGATGGCGGCGATGGTGAGGATGGTGGTGGTGATGATGGTGATGGTGAGGATGGTGACGATGGTGAGGATGGTGGTGATGGTGAGGATGGTGGTGGTGATGATGGTGATGGTGAGGATGGTGACGATGCTGAGGATGATGGTGGTGATGGTGACGATGGTGGTGATGATGGTGGTGGTGAGGATGGCGGTGAGGATGGCGGCGATGGTGAGGATGGTGGTGGTGATGATGGTGACGATGGTGAGGATGGTGGTGATTGTGATGATGGTGATGGTGACGATCCTGAGGATGATGGTGGTGATGGCGAGGATGGTGACGATGGTGGCGATGGTGGTGATGGTGAGGATGGTGGCGACGATGGTGGTTCGTTGTTGATTTATTTTGCTATAGCCCTGTGAGCCATTCGTCTCTTGAATCGGGTGCAACCACAACAAACAAACAAGCAAAAAAAACAGGAAAGCATCTGAAAGTGACCATGTGACCGTGCTCGGATGGACGACCGCCGTGCATGACGGGCGTTCGCGGCGACATTCCGCGGAGCCACGTGGTGTGATGGCAGAGGCCGTTGGGGCCAAAGCACATTGTTGTACTGCACACGATAGGACTTCTATGGCCTCACGCCTTCACAAACCCACCCCCGGCCGGCGTGGTGAAGCATGTTCAATATAACGCCCCGATCGTCAAGTGGATTCGCATTGACGTGGCTTTGATTTAAAGCTTTCGTGACTGCGGGGATTCGTATTCTTTGGTGCTTTCGGTAAAGTCACCACCACCACCACGTAGAAGGGAAACAATAAAATAATAAAATAATATATGTTTTATATATTTTATTGTTTCCCTTTCTACGTGACTTTACCGAAAGAACCAATAACGGAAACAATACAATAATAAAAATATGTTTTATATATTTGTATTATTTTATTGTTTCCCTTTCTACGTGACTTTACCGAAAGAACCAATAACGGAAACAAAATAATAAAAATATGTTTTATATATTTGTATTTTATTGTTTCCCTTTCTACGTGACTTTACCGAAAGAACCAAGAATATTGATGTTGTTACGTGTCCAGAGCGCGCGTGGGCCAGATCTTGTCGACTGGACCGTGTGCGCGCGGAACTGAAAGAGCTTTTGGAGCTCAAATCATTCCCTCCAGCACAATAAAAATTCCGATGCCGTTTGTTTGCTGGTCGATCGGGAGTTTGGGAGCACTTCGGGCCCTCTGCTCAGACACGGCTCTGAAAAACAATGAATGAGCGAAACCCTACGTGTTAAACTGAAAAACAATGTGAATGTAACAATGTGAATGCATGATGAGGATGGTGATTGGTGAGTATGGTGAGGATGGTGATGGTGAGTATGGTGAGGATGGTAATGATGGTGATGATGGTGATGGTGACGATGGTGATGGTGAGTATGGTGGTGATGGTAGTGATGGTGATGATGGTGACGATGGTGGTATGGTGAGGATGGTGAGTATGGTGGTGATGGTGATGATGGTGAGGATGGTGATGATGGTGAGGATGGTGGTGATGGTGGTGATGGTGAGGATGGTGATGATGGTGAGGGTGGTGATGGTGGTGAGGGTGGTGAGGGTGGTGATGGTGAGGATGGTGGTGGTGATGGTGAGGATGGCGGTGGTGGTGAGGATGGTGATGGTGAGGATGATGGTGAGGATGGTGGTAGTGATGGTATTTGTGGTGAGGAAGGTGATGGTGGTGGTGATGATGGTGAGGATGGTAGTAGTGATGGTGTTTGTGGTGAGGATGATGGTGAGGATGGTGATGGTAGTGGTGGTGGTGGTAGTGAGAATGATGGTGATAGGATGGTGAGGATAGTGGTGGTGGTAGTGAGAATGATGGTGGTGTGGTGAGGATGGTGATGATGGTGAGGATGATGATGGTGATGATGGTGAGGATGATGGTGAGGATGATGATGATGGTGTTGATGATGGTGAGGATGATGATGGTGGTGAGGATGGTGATGGTGGGATGCTGTTGATGGTATTTGTGGTGAGGATGGTGATGGTATTGGTGGTGGTGGTAGTGAGAATGATGGTGATAGTGAGGATGGTGGTGTTGGTGATGGTGGTGAGGATGATGGTGAGGATGGTGATGGTGGTGATGATGGTGAGGATGGTGGTAGTGATGGTATTTGTGGTGAGGATGGTGATGGTATTGTGGTGGTGGTAGTGAGAATCATGGTGATAGTGAGGATGGTGGTTGTGGTGAGGATGATGGTGAGGATGATGGTGAGGATGATGGTGTTGATGATGATAAACTCTTCCCTTTCAGATGCACGTGGCGACCTCTTTGCCGACATCTTGAAAGGCCCCCCCTATGGAGTTCTCAGTGAAAAGAATCAAACCGGAGTTCCGTCATCTGGCCCTTCTTCATCCTCACCAGATGTCTCAATAGCGTCAGGAGACCTTTCATCAATCGACTGGCAAGTCTTTACGGCCCTTGGATCCAACCACCTACCTATTGTGTTGACAGAATAACAACAAAATCCAGAAAAACGCATGTCAAAATAACAACAACAAAATCCAGAAAACGCATGTTAAAAATGTTATAAACTGATTTGCATTTTAATGAGGGAAACAAGTATTTGACCCCCTCTCAATCAGAAAATCTTCTGGCTCCCAGGTGTCTTTTGTACAGGTAACGAGCTGAGATTAGGAGCACACTCTTAAAAATGAAATAAATCACGACGTTTCGGGCGCAACACAAGCGTCCGTCGTCAAGTGGGAAAGCGTGGCCTGCTGCTGGGGCAGACTTTTAAAAGGGTTGAAATGGGTGTAGCCCAAGGGTCATAGAGAAGTGGCCGGGGCTAGTGATGTTAATGTGAGAAATTAGAGGGCACGGAAGTGGCTATGTTAATGTGAGGGATTAGCATGATGTTAATGTGAGAAATTAGAGGGCACGGTAGTGGTATGTTAATGTGAGGGATTAGCAGGATGTTAATGTGAGAGATTAGCATGTAACTGTAGAAAAGGAGAGTGGCCTCCTCGACGAGGGAGTGCAACCCAACGGGTGTAATCCAAAGGGCCTGTGAGTATGAGAGTGTAATCCAAAAGACGTGAGCATTAGAGTGCAATCCAAAGGCATGAGAGTGCAATGCAGCGGACATGTGAGCATGAGAGATCTAAGAGAGATGCATAGAGAGAGAGGGATACAGAGTCGAAATAACAGCTGACATAGGCAGGTTGCATGGACACATCACAGTCAGTGAAGACTTTACCTGGTTAATAACGTCCTTCCAATGATTGCTCAGTTTGTACCCATCCTCTCGGTTGAAGTTGTGTTGTCTGTGTTTATATATCTGGATGGCTTCATGAACAAATCTCTGACGGTAGCCGGTAGGTTTGCAGAGTATCTCCTTCTTGGAAAAATCAATATCGTGTGAACCCACAGCGTTAAAACAATGATCGGCAACTCCAGCCGCTGGTACCGGTCATCGGCAAGTCCATCATCTCCACATCCTCCTGTACCACATCACTCCATCTCTTTTCAAGCCAGTGCCGCGCCCATTTATACGCCTCTAACCGGCCGAACAAAAGCTGTTTAGGCATGCGGTGGCTGGGCATGCGGGCTACATGACCCAACTATACACTATACGCTACGTACGGTGATAAATAAGTTCAACGTACACACGTCGACACGTGCGTGCTTGTACCCCCCCCGCCACCCCCTCACTTGCAGGGCGCGATGTCGGACGAGGGAAAGCTGCTGCAGTGCCCGCTGTGCAAGTGGGTGCTCATCAGCCACGCGGCGCTGCAGGACCACATGAAGCAGCACGGGCGGCAGATCGGGGTGGAGTACTTCCAGTGCGGGTGGTGCTCCTACAGCACCTACTGCCGGCGCACGCTCAGCATCCACGAGAGGATCCACACGGGCGAGAAGCCCTACAAGTGCGCTACGTGCGGCAAGGCCTTCACCGAGATGGGACCGCTCAATAAGCACAAGCGGACGCACACCTCCGAGAAGCCCAACAAGTGCGCTACGTGCGGCAAGGTTTTCGTGAACTTGGGCACCCTCAGATCGCACGAGAAGTCGCACACCTCCGAGAAGACCTACAAGTGCCCCGTGTGCACCAAGGTGTTCGCCACCCTGCAGAACGTTCAGAGCCACCGGGCGGTGCACAACGGCAAGAAGCCGTTCGAGTGCGACGCGTGCGGCAAGGTGTTCGCCAACCTGCGGTTCCTTGAGTGCCACGAGATGACGCACGCCGACGAGCGGCCGTACGTGTGCACGGTGTGCGACAAGGTGTTCACGCACGCCAAGGACCTGTGCAGCCACCAGAGGGTTCACCTTTGTAAGAAGAAAGGCTACAAGTGCAAGCGATGCGAGAGGTCGTACACCAGGCTGGGCGCCCTCCGTACCCACGAGAAGACGCACACCAACGACGCGCCGCACGTGTGCTCCGAGTGCGGCGAGGTGTTCACTGAGCTGGACAGCCTGCGTCAGCACGAGAGGACTCACGAGGAACAGAAGCCACTGCTGTGTTCAGAGTGTGGCGAGGCGTTCACGGAGCTGGACAGCCTGCGTCGGCACGAGAGGTCTCACAAGGACCAGAAGCCACTGCTGTGTTCAGAGTGCGGTGAGGCGTTCACGGAGATGGACAGTCTGCGTCAGCACGAGAGATCCCACGAGGAGCAGAAACCACTGCTGTGTTCAGAGTGCGGTGAGGCGTTCACGGAGCTGGACAGCCTGCGTCGGCACGAGAGGTCTCACAAGGACCAGAAGCCACTGCTGTGTTCAGAGTGCGGTGAGGCGTTCACGGAGCTGGACAGCCTGCGTCAGCACGAGAGGTCTCACAAGGACCAGAAGCCACTGCTGTGTTCAGAGTGCGGTGAGGCGTTCACGGAGCTGGACAGCCTGCGTCAGCACGAGAGGACTCACAAGGACCAGAAGCCACTGCTGTGTTCAGAGTGCGGTGAGGCGTTCACGGAACTGGACAGCCTGCGTCAGCACGAGAGGTCTCACAAGGAGCAGAAACCACTGCTGTGTTCAGAGTGCGGTGAGGCGTTCACGGAGCTGGACAGCCTGCGTCAGCACGAGAGGACTCACAAGGACCAGAAGCCACTGCTGTGTTCAGAGTGCGGTGAGGCGTTCACGGAGCTGGACAGCCTGCGTCAGCACGAGAGGTCTCACACGAGGATGGTGATGATGGTGAGGATGGTGGTGGTTAGGATGGTGGTGGTGATGATGGTGAGGATGGTGGTGGTGATGGTATTTGTGGTGAGGATGATGGTGAGGATGGTGATGGTATTGGTGGTGGTAGTGAGAATGATGGTGAAGATGATGGTGAGGATGGTGGTATGGTGAGGATGGTGGTGGTGGTGTTGGTGATGATGGTGAGGATGATGATGGTGAGGATGATGGTGAGGATGGTAGTGTGATGAGGATGGTGGTGGTGAGGATGATGGTGAGGATGGTGATGATGATGGTGAGGATGGTGATGATGATGGTGAGGATGATGGTGAGGATTGTGTTGATGGTGAGGATGGTGATGGTGAGGATGGTGATGGTGAGGATGGTGGTGATGGTGGTGGTAGTGAGAATGATGGTTATAGTGAGGATGGTGATGATGGTGATGATGGTGAGGATGGTGGTGGTAAGGATGATGGTGAAGATGGTGATGGTGAGGATGGTGATGGTTAAGATGGTGATGATGGTGTTGATGATGATGATGGTGAGGATGGTGAGGATGGTGGTGGTGGTGTCGGTGAGGATGGTGATGGTGAGGAGGATAATGGTTTTGCCGATGATAACTCTTCCCTTTCAGATGCATGTGGCAACCTCTTTGCCGACATCTTGAACGGCTCCCCCTATGGGGTACTCAATGAAAAGAATCAAACCGGAGTTCCGTCATCTGGCCCTTCTTCATCCTCACCAGATCTCAATAGCGTCAGGAAACCTCCTTTCATCAATCGACTGGCGAGTCATTACGGCCCTTGGATCCGACCACCTACCTATCGTGTTGACCCTCGATGCCACCAAGCCTTCACAAACTCCTAAAAACCGCTCGTTTTACAACTTTCAAAAAGCTAACTGGCCACTTTTTACTTCAGAATCAGAAGCATTATTCGCCGACAACATCAACCATATCCACACATCCGAAAATATTTTCAGAAACATCATCGCAACTCCCACTAAGCGCCCCGTCCCGGCGGGTTGCTGCAAGCAACACCTGTGCCTCTCTAAAGAAGCCTCGACGCTAATAAACCAACGAAACACTATTAGGACTAAAAATCCTACATCACCACCACTCACTCCCAGCCTTCAATATTGAAATCACAAAGCTAATCAATCGAGCCAAAACAGAACGCTGGCACGAGTTTGTTGAATCTTTTGACCACCGCAAAAACTCAACAAAACTTTGGAAGACCATCAAACCCTGAGATGGACACTCCAAATCGCCACCCAATTGTGCAATCACTTTCAAAAACAAATCCATCAAACAACAATAACATCGCCAACCACTTCAACAAACTTTTCTCATCAGTCGTCCCACACTCTTCTAATAAATCCAGCCGTCATAAAATCTGTCAAACCAAGGAACTTCAATCTTGATTTGAAGCTTTCGTGACTGCAGGAATCCATACTCTTTGGTTCTTTCGGTGAAGTCACGTACAGTGAGGGAAAAAAGTATTTGATCCCCTGCTGATTTTGTACGTTTGCCCACTGACAAAGAAATGATCAGTCTATAATTTTAATGGTAGGTTTATTTGAACAGTGAGAGACAGAATAACAACAACAAAATCCAGAAAAACGCATGTCAAAAATTTTATAAATTGAGTTGCATTTTAATGAGGGAAATAAGTATTTGACCCCCTCTCAATCAGAAAGATTTCTGGCTCTCAGGTGTCTTTTATACAGGTAACGAGCTGAGATTAGGAGCACACTCTTAAAGGGAGTGCTCCTAATCTCAGCTTGTTACCTGTATAAAAGACACCTTTCCACAGAAGCAATCAATCAATCAGATTCCAAACTCTCCACCATGGCCAAGACCAAAGAGCTCCCCAAGAATGTCAGGGACAAGATTGTAGAGCTACACTAGGCTGGAATGGGCTCCAAGACCATTGCCAAGCAGCTTGGTGAGAAGGTGACAACAGTTGGTGCGATTATTCGCAAATGGGAAAAACACAAAAGAACTGCCAATCTCCCTCGGCCTGGGGCTCCATGCAAGATCTCACCAGAGCTACACGGGAGTATCTTGTCAATGATCTCAAGGCAGCTGGGACCATAGTCACCAAGAAAACAATTGGTAACACACTACGCCGTGAAGGACTAAAATCCTGCAGCGCCCGCAAGGTCCCCCTGCTCAAGAAAGCACATACTGTAGGTATAAAATAAAATAAATCACGACGTTTCGGGCGCAACACAAGCGTCCGTCGTCAGGTGGGAAAGCGTGGCCTGCTGCTGGGACAGGCTGTTTTAAAAGGTTTGAAATGGGTGCAGCTCAAGTGTCATAGAGAAGTGTCCGGGGGCTGTTGATGTTAATGTGAGAAATTAGAGGGCACGGAAGTGGCTATGTTAATGTGAGAGATTAGCATAATGTTAATGTGAGATGTTAGCATGATGTTAATGTGAGACATTAGCATGATGTTAATGTGAGAAATTAGAGGGCATGGAAGTGGCTATGTTAATGTGAGGGATTAGCATGTTAATGTGAGAGATTGGCATGATGTTAATGTGAGAGATTAGCATGTAACTGTAGAAAAGGAGAGCTGCCTCCTCGACGAGGGAGTGCAACTCAACGGGTGTAATCCAAAGGGCCTGTGAATATGAGAGTGTAATCCGAAAGACATGTGGGCATGAGAGTGCAATCCAAAGGCATGAGAGTGCAATGCAACGGACATTTGAACATGAGAGATCTAAGAGAGAGGCATAGAGATACAGAGAGTCGAAATAACAGCTGCCATAGGCAAGTTGCATGGACACATCACAGTCAGTGAAGACTTTACCTGGTTAATAACGTCCTTCCAATGATTGCTCAGTTTGTACCCATCCTCTCGGTTGAAGTTGTGTTGTCTGTGTTTATATATCTGGATGGCTTCATGAACAAATGTCTGACGGTAGCCGGTAGGTTTAAAGAGTACCTCCGTCTTGGAAAAAATAATTTCGTGTGAGCCCACAGCGTAAAAACAATGATCGGCAACGGCACCGCTGGTACCGGTCATCGGCAAGTCCACTCAGCTCCACATCCTCCTGTACCACATCACTCCATCTCTTCGCTAGCCAGTGCCGCACCCATTTAGACGCCTCTAACCGGCCGAACAAAAGCTGTTTAGGCATGCGGTGGCTGGGCATGCGGGCTACATGACCCAACTATACACTATACGCTACGTACGGTGATAAATAAGTTCAACGTACACACGTCGACACGTGCGTGCTTGTACCCCACCCCCCCACTTGCAGGGCGCGATGTCGGACGAGGGGAAGCTGCTGCAGTGCCCGCTGTGCAAGTGGGTGCTCATCAGCCACGCAGCGCTGCAGGACCACATGAAGCAACACGGGCGGCAGATCGGGGTGGAGTACTTCCAGTGCGGGTGGTGCTCCTACAGCACCTACTGCCGGCGCACGCTCAGCATCCACGAGAGGATTCACACGGGCGAGAAGCCCTACAAGTGCTCTACGTGCGGCAATGTTTTCGCGCACTTTGGCAAGCTCAGAAGGCACGAGAAGTCGCACACCTCCGAGAAGCCCAACAAGTGCGCTACGTGCGGCAAGGTTTTCGCGCACTTGGGCACCCTCAGATCGCACGAGAAGTCGCACACCTCCGAGAAGACCTACAAGTGCCCCGTGTGCACCAAGGTGTTCGCCACCCTGCAGAACGTTCAGAGCCACCGGGCGGTGCACAACGGCAAGAAGCCGTTCGAGTGCGACGCGTGCGGCAAGGTGTTCGCCAACCTGCGGTTCCTTGAGTGCCACGAGATGACGCACGCCGACGAGCGGCCGTACGTGTGCACGGTGTGTGACAAGGTGTTCACGCACGCCAAGGACCTGTGCAGCCACCAGAGGGTTCACCTTTGTAAGAAGAAAGGCTACAAGTGCAAGCGATGCGAGAGGTCGTACACCAGGCTGGGCGCCCTCCGTACCCACGAGAAGACGCACACCAACGACGCGCCGCACGTGTGTTCAGAGTGCGGCGAGGTGTTCACTGAGCTGGACAGCCTGTGTCAGCACGAGAGAACTCACGAGGAGCAGAAGCCACTGCTGTGTTCAGAGTGCGGCGAGGCGTTCACAGACCTGGACAGCCTGCGTCAGCATGAGAGGACTCACAAGGACCAGAAGCCACTGCTGTGTTCAGAGTGTGGCAAGGAGTTCACAGACCTGGACAGTCTGCGTCAGCATGAGAGGTCCCACAAGGACCAGAAGCCACTGCTGTGTTCAGAGTGCGGCGAGGCGTTCACGGAGCTGGACAGCCTGCGTCAGCACGAGCGGACTCACAAGGAGCAAAAGCCACTGCTGTGTTCAGAGTGCGGCGAGGCGTTCACGGAGCTGGACAGCCTGCGTCAGCACGAGAGGTCTCACAAGGAGCGGAAGGCAACGTCATCAAACATTAGGCAGCAGCAGGAGGACAGTGACATGGGTACAAATCCACGTGGTCTGGAAATTTGCTAGATGCTCCTCACGCGTGGTGTGAGATGAGGAGTGGGGATTATGGTCAAATGATACATCTCTGGAATCACCAGAGGACACTCGTGGGGAAATTAACTTCTAAGATTTTCTCCAAACATGTATCTGCCGTAACTCACAGACGCGACGCGACGTGTGTGCGTGTGTGTGCATGTGTGTGCATGTGTGTGCGTGTGTGTGCGTGAGATAGAAAACACATTCGGATTCAGAATCTTTATTTATCCTGGAGAAATCTGATGAGTTATGACGCTCTTTTTCACAGATGTGCAATAGGGGCAGGTCAGAAAGTTGCAACAACAAACACGATAGGAGTGCAATGTATTGGAAAGGTAAGCAAGTTACTAAAATAAATTAAATAGATAAAGTATCAGAATCAGAATCAGTTCTAATTGCATAAGTACACCAATTTCCCAAGCTTGGGCAAGGCAGCAGAACAGCATCAAAAACAGTCCCAGACCACACCAAGACAACACACAGTCCCTCAATAAAATGGCGCATTAAAAGTGAACTATTGATGTATGTATGTTGAACTTCTTTCGCACCGTGCACAGCCCACCCTGATAATCGGACGTACGGGTAAAGGTGAAAGTTACAAGTCACATTTGCAAATGCAGTTTTATGCAGCGCTAATCCCCGTCTTGAGGATATGTTTTGAAAGAAGATTTGATGCTCCACTCGTCAAACACTGGAGGATCCTCTGTGGCAAGAAGTCAGAATCTTTATTTATCCTGGAGAAATCCGATAACCTATGAAACTTTTTTGCACGGATGGAAAGCCGCCCTCTCTGTCTTCAAGACATGGCCAGAGCGCCACACTCCAGCAAGAACCACGTCTGGCAGCTCCCCGGGGGGGGGGGGGGGGGGGAGACACACGGCCCCGTCGACTTACACCTGAGATTGTGTCCTCTTGAAACCATGCCCGGTGGTTCATCGACAGCCCTTCACGGTGAATCCATCTCATCATCATCATTAGACTTCCTTTGCCAGTACCAAAATGTAATCATAGGGTTTTTCCCCTTTTTTCTGGCAACAAAACTGAAATCTTTTTTACGAGGCTTCATGTCTGCATTAACCACAATACCTGCAGTCAAAATGCAAACAAAAAAACATACTATGATAATATATGCATTGTCCTTGAAACTGATTGGTCCACACCAAGGGACGGCTTTCTTTTGAGCCTCAACCCATATGGTGCTCGACCAGATGACGCCAAAAGGCGTGAATCCATGTTCAGATGTTCACCGGGGGGGGGGGGGGGGGGGGGGGGGGGTGAGCGGTAAGCCTGGGCCTCTTGAGAGTTGATGAGATATTAACTCCCTCGCCTATTATGCAGGAGATCGTGGGTCTGATCCCGACCCCGACGCCTGTTGTATATTTGGAGTTTGCATGCCTCCCTCTCTCTCCCCATGGTTGCGTGGATTTTTCTCCGGGTCCTCTGGGTTTTCCCTCCACATTTAGAACACTATTTAACACAATGTTTGTTATTGAGTAGTAAATGTTATTTCGTAATTGCTTATGCCTAAAAGTTTAAAATGTCTGTTTTTCCCCACAAACTTTGCTTTTGTGACCAGGACAGTGATCTTCTGAAAATTACTTATTTTCAATGATAAAACGGGCGAATTTGTGTCTTTTCGTTCACATAAAGTCAGAAAAAACAACAACATATGAATCAACATTAACATGTATTTATACTAAAGTAATACAAACATGACTACAAATGATTTACAAGTGAGTGCTATTTAGAGATTTACGATTATACTGTAAATCACTTTCACGAATCAGCCCCCAAATGTAGTCTCCCATCATGTTCTCGTTATACTGTCCTTAGTAGCGGCATTCAAAGTCCAGTATATCCTGGTGGAAGCACTCGCCTTGCTCCTCCGAGCACACGCCCATGTTCTTGAATTTTTCAATATGAGCATCCTACAGCCCATTGTGCCGTAGTTCTTCACCAGAATCTCAACCAGCTCAACGTAGTTTTCGACGATGTGATTGCCCAGGAAGCCACGAACCACTGCGACAAAGCTGTTCCAAGCCGCTTTCTCCTTACTAGTGAGCTTCTTGGGGAATTCCTTGTACTCAAGGATCTTCTTTATCTGTGGTCCGACGAAGACACCGGCTTTGACCTTTGCCTCGGACAGCTTAGGGAAAAAGTCTTGAAGGTACTTGAAGGCTACCGACTCCTTATCTACAGCTCTGACAAATTGTTTCATAAGGCCCAATTTGATGTGCAGTGGTGGCATCGGAACCTTCCGGGGGTCCACCAGTGGTTCCCACTTGACGTTGTTCCTCTCTATCAGAGAACTCAGTTCGCTGTGGCCAGTCCCGCCTGTGGTTCTTGCGCATTGGTGTCTCAATCTTTTGTAGTCATTTTTGTATTACTTTAGTATAAAGACATGTTCATTTTGATTCATGTTGGTTTTTTCTGACTTTATGTGAACGAAAAGACACAAATTCGCCCGTTTTCTCATTGATATTAGGTAGATTTCCAAATATCACTGTCTTGGTCACAAAAGCAAAGTTTGTGGGCAATAATAGCCACTTTCTGTACTTTCGAGTCACAGGTAATTAGGAAATAACACTACCCAGGAACAAAAAAAAATGTTACACAGTGGAATCAACATCGCCACGCATTTAGAGGATTTGGCTGCCGCTATCAATTTCCATTCGATAAGCCACTTCGTTAAGCTATCATTTGTGGCCAGGTCTCTTAGTGGGCCTTACCTAGAACCAGGTATGAATACTCATACTCTTTGGGTCTTTCGGTAAAGTCACATAGATCGGTATCAATGTTGAACAAGCCAACCATGCTAATCAGAGGTGGCAGAATGGAAACTTCAGGGTTATCACAGCAGTCTTTTGATAACTGAAGGAAGGCGTCGGGGTCTGGCCGACTGCATCTGACTGCATCTCGTATCTCCAAGAAGCACAGTTGACTTCTTACGGCACGAAAGAAGTTCAACATTCGAGCAGTGCTCAACTTACGAATACAATTACGGTAGTTCGTGAGGCCCGTTCATAAGTGGAAAAGTTCATAGGTCAGAACACAATCATGTACTGTCTTTTAAATGTCCATACGAAATGCGTTATGGTTAAACAAAAAATGGAAGCATTGTTATAACTCACAAGAAGAAATATTGTACATTTGCATGAAACACTGTAAACAAAATACTGCATAGTAAATAAAACATAAAATAAAGTATCAAATAGAAACATCCGTTTTATTTTCACCTACCTTGAGTCCTGATGCTGGCTTATTACAGACAAATTCAGACCTTGTTGGTCACCCCCATCGGTGGCAAGATGAGGTTTAAAACAATTAGGTTTGATAAGGTTTAAATTTTAAAAAAACCTCAATATCACGAAGGGCCAGTTATGGTGAGGTTTTGAGGTTCATTCTAAAAAGACGCCATTTTGGTTTTTGCAGGAATTCTGACTGAAGTAACAGACTGCGGAAGGCCGGAGCCCGGAAATCATAAATCTCGCCATTACCTGAGTTACCAGCGTCATCAAGTGAACCCAAATTCCACCACGAGCAGGATCATGGATCAGGACCTGGATGAGGATTTACTCGATTCCGATGAATGTGATAGTGATGTCGTAATTGTGATGGAGAAGAATGGAGTGGCCGACGCGGAGAAGGATGGAGTGGCCGACGAGGCGTTGGCGAACACAGGGAAGGCCAGAGGACACCCGATGGGCCAGTTTTGGCACTACACCGATGATCCGGAACCTTACAAGTTGAAGAGTGCCATCTGCAAACATTGTTGCACCACATTCAATCATCACAAGAAGAGTTAGCAGGGCGATGAGGCACCTGAATGCATGCGCCACTTTTCGGAGGGCAATGAATGGCACCGAGATAGGTTATCGTCCCGAGTGGTCTGCGTCGAACAAGAAGCGGGCGAAGCCATCGAAGGCAAGCGACAGCTCAACTCCATCTACATCGAACGCTTCGTCGA